TCAGTGTAAATTAAGATTTATATCCCTCATTTATTTATGTTTCCGTATTTTTATATGTTTCAATATGACTTAATTTTTTATTCGTTTTTATATTTGTATGTCCATCCTGTATAAAAATAGTTCCATCAGACACTATCAATTTTTACCTGCAGATTATCTTTTTTTTGCTCTTTTTGTATGGAGCCTCTGAGTTTTACATATTTGGGACTGTTGTATATAATTTATTTTTGTTCTTTTTTAGATCTCTGGTAATATGGAAAACATGCCTGTTTCTGCGTATGTGATTGAGGTTTTAGGTTTGACTGTTGGTGAGCAGTCTCGTCTGATTGCAGTTAGGCGGTAGATGCCTAGTGGTGATGCAGTGTCTAGTGTTGCTTGTGGTTTGAAACATATTGAGCATAAGCCACTAACCATGAGAACGATGGTGAATGAGAGCAAATTCCGTGTTGATGATTATAACGGTGTTGTCTATATTTTGGCTAAGTATGATCGTCTTCCTCGAGTACTTAACATGCGTATGATTCAAGTTGGTGACAGTGCTCTTCATGTGTATCAAGTGAAAAGTATTGTCTTGAGGACTGGCTCTTGCAAAGCTTTCATGGATATTCTAGTAAGGATCAAGGTACCTTTCTTTTAATCTTTATACTTTTTTAAAAAATATTCTAGAAATTTAGTTGTTTGCTTGTTGGCCCTTCTTATTTTAATTATTTTAGGATTTGTCACTGATTGATTGATAAGTTAATCTTTATTTGGACTTTATCATGTTCATCTTTTTTTTCTAGGTTGTTTCTCAACAAAATTCAATTGCTCCTGAAGCTACAGTTCCATTTACTCTGGAAGATGAAGTTGTTTCTTTGTTTGTTGTTGATAATCTAGATCTAGTTGTTGAAGAGCAATCTCAGCTACTTGCTGCTAAGGGTTTGACCAGTGACAATCCAGTTAAATTAGTGTCTCGGGTTGTTAAGTAAAATCATGGTGGTGATTTTCTGCCTACTTGCAAGTTTGCATATGATCCAACAAATGGTACTGTGTATGTAAAGGTGGATAAAGAATCAGATGCAAATCTGATGGTTTGGCGTTCTTTTGAGGTTGCAGGTGAAAGAATGTCCTTCTATTGTATTCTCAGTTTAAGGGTTCGTGCAGAAGAAGAAGATATATATCAGACTGTGAAATGACGTCTGTTGTTTCCTGATATTGGCGAGTAGTAGGCTGTCATCGATAGCAGCATTATGTTTCTGGATCTTTTGTTTAAGTGACAAATTGTTTATGTAATAAGTGAACAATTTATATTTGTGGAACTACAGTTTGTATGGAACTTTATTATCTGAGTGCTTGTAATATAAATTAGCGCTTTTAATATAAATTAGTGCTTTTTTTCCTCTGTTTGCCTACTTATGAGTTTGTGAGGTTTACATTTGTCTTTGTGATCTACTGCCTTATCAACATGGTCAGGTTATTAGGTAATATTCTATCTTTAATTTGTTTTTTTTATTTTCTGAGTCTGATTGTGCTTATCTTTGCCATGTGGATTGTAATGATGGTGGCCATGGTAATTCTGATGATGATGAGTGGATGTTTTGATAATGATAGAGATAAGTTACTCTCTCTCTCTCTCTCTTGTGATTTCTTTTTCTTTTATTTTAAAATGTTGATTTAATTTTGTTATTTTAGGTAGTAGTTGATGCCCTGTAGGCAGTTATGAGGTTAATCAGTTAGCTGTGATCTGAGCTAACTCACAAATCCCTTGTGTTTGTTTTTCCATTTGGAAGTTTAAAAGCAATTTTGTAGTACATGTTCATATGGTTGATCTAAGCATCTTGTGTTCCCTATTTGTAGTACATTTTGCCTTAAAGTTGGTAGTTATTCATGTATGCATAGTTGGCAAGGCAATAGAGAAAATGAGTTTGTGGTGAATATTGAGTTTTACATATTTGGGACTGCTCTATATATATTTTTTGTTGTTTTTAGATGGTTGGCATCCTAGAAAACTAGGTTGTTTCTGAATATGTTATTGAGGTCCTTGGTCTCACTGTTGGTGAGCAGTCTAATCTGATTGCACTAATTTATATTACATTTTTTGCTCTGCAGCATTGTTGATGACACTGCATGTTTTTTGTGTTCATGAAATATGTGAGTTTTGTTTGTGTTCAACATGATTTCTTTGGTGTCCATTAGTCTGAATCTAATTACTTTTTTGTGGTATGTTGAGGTGTATCTATAGCTTAAGGTTGAGGAAGAGGTGGTTGCACAGTTGTTTTTGCATCGTTCATTTGCTTTCATTGGTGAGTATTTTGCTCATAGCTTTCATTTCTCTTAGCTTTTGCATTTCTATTTTGATTTATGATGTATTTTACTGTAGAGTTGAACTATACTTATAGTTGTTGGTTTAGTGTAATTCGTAGGTATCTTTGATGTAATTTTGCTAAATTGTTAGATTTTATTTTTTTCCAACATTGCTGAGTTCTATCTGCACGTGTACTAGAAGGCAAAGTTTTAGTTTTATCAGTAGGTGCATTTTTTTTATTTGGCTTTTGGTTGTTTTTCATTTGCACTTACTGTTGTTGATTAGTTGTAATTTATAGGTATAACTGATGTAACTTAGGTTTTAGTGAGTTTATGTGTTCTTTTGTACATTTTCTATACTAGCTTGGTTGACTTTTATTTTTTCTTGTTTCTTGTCATATTTCCTTTGCTTAAATTATCCTTTGATCTTGGATTTAATTTGTATTAATTTTTTACTTATAGTACTTTTGAATTTCAATTACAGTTGCTCATCATGTGTAATTGATAGGATATTTTGTAGTAACTAGTACCATTAATTTTTTTTCTTTGCTTTTTCTTACTTTTTGGAATTTGTTATTTGCCATGTTTGCTTCCTGAAATGGTCTCAAAGAGTTTTTGTTTTTTGCAATGCATAGAAATATTTGGTTTTTTGTTTATTTGCTTTTCTGATATTTTGTGGAATTTGTTATTTGCCCTTTTTGCTTCTTGAAATGGTCTCAAAGAGTTTTTGTTTTTTGCAATGCATAGAATTTTTGGTTTTTTATTTATTTGTTTTTCTAATATTTTGTGGAATTTGTTATTTGCCCTTTTTCTTCCTGAAATGATCTCTAAGAGTTTTTTTTGCATTGCATAGAATTTTTTGTTGTTTTTTTTATGATTTTTTGATGTTTTTTTTGGTATGTTTGGCTATACGAATGGTCTTTGATTTTTTTTTTGCAATGCATAGTATATTTTCGTTTTTTTTGCATTTGCCATTTTTTTATTTTTTTTCTGGTTTTTTTTCTTCCTGTAATGGTCTCATTTTAATTCTAGTTTTTTAAAAAAAAACGTGCTTCAAGCCTGCTTTTTTAGGGAATACAGAATTCGTGTGATTTGGTTCTCTGTTTCACTGGAATTCTGTCTTTTTTTGTGTGTGTGATTTGCCCCTTCCTTTTACTCGTGTGACCAAATGGAATGAATCACACAGTTTTTGTTTGGTCTAACATTTGTGTGATTTGTACCATCCATTTGCTTGAGTGATCAAATTGGTCAAATCACTCGAGTTCCAAATAGACAGATCCTTCTATTATAGCATAACGGAAATATAAGCATTCAACGGTTTACATATCAGACAGAAAGCAGAAGGGAACCTGAAGGTACGACTGACAACAGGAAGACTAAGCACCAGTTTCCAAACTGTTCTACCAAAGGGCTTAAACTAACCGCCAAACTTGAGCAGCACCGCGCTCTTAGAGTTTTAGTTTTAAACTGACTTAACAACGACCAAAGTAGCTTGAGACAAAGAACAGACAGACGAACGGACCATCATTAGAAACAAAACCAAGAGCATCTAATCGCCAATGGCACAAGACTACATGGGCCGGCAAAAACCGATATGGAGTTATGGACTGTGGATCCCCTGCCACAGTCTGGCCTGTGGTCTGTGGATCCCCTGCCACGGTCTGGATTTGTCCAGTCATTGTGAAGACTTTCGTTGTTATTTGGTAAAATGTCTAATTATGGACTATTTAGGCTTTAAAAGATTCCCTGATTTCTCGATGTCTGGCAATTTTGTCCACATTTAATCCACTACCATGAAGATTGATGTGAAAATCTTGAAATTTTTTGGTTTTTGGGTTGGAACTAAACGGGGCCTAATTTGTGCTGGACACTTGCGAACCTAGAGAGTGCGGAGGAGACCAAGCAGGTTTTTGAACTGTTCCATACTACCACGATATATATATATATACAGGCCTCGTTAAATTGGCGAAATTTTTTTGGCAAACAGTGACATAGTATTTTCGTTGTTATTTAGTAATTAGTGTCTAATCATAATCTAATTAGGCTTAAAAAATTCGTCCCGTAAATTTCGTCTAAACTGTGTAATTAGTTTTATTTTTTATTTATATTTAATGCTTCATGCATGTATCAAAGATTCGATGTGACGGAAAACTTTAAAAAATTTGCAAAATTTTGAAAACTAAACAGGCACATAGTACCCGAATCCAACACTACATTTGGCTACAAAGTTCACCAGAAAATCGTGTTGCAAGATTCAGATGCGAAAAAACAACATAAGAAAAATTTGAAAAGATCGAGTATCAACACTTTGAACAGATTATACGGACACGTGCAGGAGTGGGCCGCGGCAGCTCTCGTCTCAGGCACTCTCTCAGCTCGCCTCCCTCCTCCTCGATCCAGCAGTAGCACGCGCTGACGCGCCGTACGCCCGCCATGCCTCCGCTCCGCTCCACGCGCTCGTGGTAGGGCCGTGCGAATTCCAGCGCGCGGCACGGAAAAAGCCATGCACTGTCTCAGTGTCCCCCAGCGGACCCATAGCCGGCAGCAGGTCAGTGTGGTAGGTCCCACGGCCACCACGCGCGCTGCAGAGTGCAGATCCCGCCCATGCGCGCGCGCGGCGAGGACCACGACACCGCGCGCAAGGCGCAGGCGAGAGCCACCCCGCCCTCGGCCGGCTGGCTGGCCGCCTCCTTGCTCGGACGGCGGGCGGACTGCGGTCATGGCATGTAGAGGCGGTTGCCGCACTTGCACCTCCACGCCTCCGGGTAGTACTCGGTGGTGACCGGCACGCCCGGCGGCACGGCCACGTGCACCGGGTAGCACGGGCTGCAGTCGCCGCACTTGGACGTGCACCGTGGCGGGTATGACCCCGGACCATCCGCCAGCAGCCGCCGCCATTGCCCTTGCGCTTGCCCACCCGTGTTGGTGTAGCACCCCTGCATGCGCGAGCAGCAAGAAGAATAATGAATCATCAGTGCTGACTGCTGAGCCTGAGGGTACGTCTCGTCGCGAACGCGTGGAACGTACGTACGTATCAGTCGGTAAGGTAAGGTCGCTATCGTGGGTCGGTCGGTGGTGTTGCATTGCCGTTGCATCGATCGACGATCGGCATTCGGCAGTGACGTGTGGTCAAAAGGCCATGGGACCCGGCGGCGTTGAAGGGCTGTCGGACGGGGCTGTGCGAGCGGGCATGGCCGTGCCTGTGCGGCTGTGCCTGTGATCGCTACTGACTACTGGGAGCTGCAGTGTGCACCGGCCATGCCGGAGCCGGGTGTGGTCTGGTTGGAGTGTCTTCTGTCCCTCTCTGTGGGTTTAGATTTGATGTGCTAGCAGCTGGTCCATGGCGCATCGTCATGAATATGAACAAGGCAACAGCTAATCAAGTCGGTTTGATCTCTGCGCGGTCTCATCGGTGTGCAGTGGATAGAGGGACAGTAGGTAGCTGAGACGAGAGGGAGATGGATACGCACCTGATTACCGCAAGATGCTGCCGCTCGTCCTCGTCTCCAGGACTCTGAAGAGCAAAAAGGAAAAGAAGAGGACAATGAAACTACTTTGGGAGTAGTGATCCTCAATCCTAAGCTAAAACACATATAACTAAATGCAGTGAAATCAAGATCAATCCGGTGCTAGACTAGTGTAGGCAGCTGCGTGCATAAAGAACATAAAGAACACATCATGAGGACGAAGCAAAGCAACTAGTGAATGAACCTTGGCAAACATGAGCCATGGATGAGAAACGTGTCACACCAGTAACTCTGCAGAGCAGGGTCACCAGAGAGAACCAAAAAAAAAAGAAGGAAGTTTCCCAAATGCGGCAAACATCTGCATAGGAGTGAGAACGGCTTTCTTGATTCGTTACCTGAACGGAGCAACACAGTACTCCCCCTGCAGCCGCTGCCGCACAGGCAGATGATGGCCACGGCGAAGCACAGCCCCGCCAGCTTTAGCATGGATCTGCCACACCGCCTCCATCTCCGCCTCCCCCGGGAGCACTCCATGGCCTCCCCTTTTTTCAAGCCCCTGCCCTGAAGCCGCAGCAAACTGTAGAGCCGGAGCTCGGCAGGCAGCCAAATTTAGGAAGCGGCACGGGGAGGGCGTGCGCTCGCGCTGCGCACCCTCACTGACTGCTGCTGCCGCCTTGTAATAATATAGAACCCCCTGCGCTGCGTCCCTCTCCCGCTCGAACGCCACTGTAGCCGAGTCAGATCTCAGCGCGGCTACCTCAGACAAGACTACCTGATCGTCAAGTTCAATAGATCAGCGAGATGGAGACACCGTGCACGACCATACAGACTACAGAAGAGAAGAGAGCATGCAGGCAGGGGCAGTAGCTGCGTACTACACCGATGACTCTAGCAGCGCACGTAGCTTTGCATCCTCCGCCTCTCGCCACACCCGTCACTTCAGGTAGACTTGGAGGAGGAGTTGTTGTGTGTGTGTCCGAGTGACAGCCCGGTGCCGGCTACTGCTAGAGATGGATGTCAATGGGCGTCACCAAATGCTACTGCCGGATACTCACTCACAGTCACTCGTCTCTCTTCTACCCGTGGGGAGGAAGGACGGTGGTGGAGCCATGGAGGAGCTGCTGCATCCATGTGCACCCGTAAAGCCTGCGGTACTTGACAGAAGTTAACGCAAACATAGGGGCCCAAGCCCAGCTAGTGGTCCAATAGGGAGACGCACATAATGGGGGTCTGGTAATCTGGTCGTTCTTGGGTCAAGCGTGAGATAAGACGAGAGTAGCACATGTGCAACCGTAGATTCGATTTGGATTTGGATTTGAATATAGGAGGCACGAGCTGACGAATGATGATGTGTAGGGTTTAAGGTTGTTCTTGTGCACGCGTGGACCGTGCATCCGTGTGTAACAAGAGCTCGAATTGCCTATGGTTTCGCCGTGCTTCCCGTATGGGCATTAGCTGATCTTGGTTGAAAATGAAAGGGAACATGGCTACTGTTTTCTTTGGGCATGTTCTTCGCAACCAAAACTTGCAATAACCCAGTGCAGCAGTGCAACAAAATGTTGGAATACCGAATTCCGAATAACTACCAAGCAGCTCCATGGCCCTTGGGATGGGCGAATAATCGTCGACAAAGTCAAAGAGAAGAGCCGGACCGGAGCAGCAGGTGGTGAGCTTGTGTGAAGAAAGCAACGCGAGGATAGGGCACGCATCGGTTAGTGGACTCTGCGGCTATGTTCAGGCATCCCAAGATAGCTTGTCGCCTAAAACTGTGCTGTATGATATGAACCCTCCACCTTTTCTTACCGTGCTCAGTAGCAGCGGCTTTTGGTCAGCAGGCTTTACACAGGTCCCCCTTTACAATGGGCACACACGCAGGAATGAAGCGGGTCTGCGGTTGCGTGCTGCCGTCGGTACTGAATATATTCATAACAGTCTTGGATCCAAGCTTCTGATAATCCTTATCGTCGGTACCGCTTGCCAATTGGCAAGGCATATGCAACCAAGGCTTCAGTTAAATTAGGGTGGTTCGCTCAACCGTCCGTCGTCGTCAAGTCACGGTCCCTCGGCGGCGCGCGACGACGCAGTTCGGTCGCGTCGAGGAACAGGGAGCTCAGCGACCGAGCGAGACTGCGAGAGCGACGCCACTGGTTCGCCCGAGACCCGAGGCCCGAGCAGACGTCGCCACCGAGACCTGGGTCTCGTTTAGATTGGAAATTTTTATAATCTGTAGCACGTTTCGTTTGTATTTGATAAACCCGAGGCCCGAGCAGACGTCGCCACCGAGATCTGGATCGACCCGGCAACGATTCCGTGTGTGATGTGGACGCACTCGTCGACCCGGCAACGATTCCGTGTGTGATGTGGACGCGCTCGTCCGCAGCAGCATTGACCCGTCCACTCGCGCCGAACGCGAGGTCACCACTCACGATTCACCAAGCTGCAGCTGGGAGCCTGGGACTGACGCAGAGGAAGGGCCGGAACCGGAAGGCAAAAGCCACTGGCCACCGTACCCGCCGCGGTGGGTACGCCCGAGACTAGACGGCACCTGAGCCTCCACGGGTTGCGTCCCATCGGAGTTGTTCCTACAAGGCGACGAGCCTCCGGTCATTTTCGGCGGATGTGAAGGCATCTGGCTCCTTGCGTTGCGTCTGGTTTCGACGGCCTACTGGCGCAGTTGGCAAATTGTCAAGGGCCAGGAGCCATGTGGCGCAACAGTGTCGTCCAGATGGGCGACGTACGTACGACACGGCTGCTCCTCCGTTCTCATGCCACCTTGGTTAGGGCCTGTGTAGATTCCTTCCCGTTTGAAAATGGATACTGTAGCATTTTTGTTTGTATTTGAAAAAAATTATCCAATTATGGACTATTTAGGCTTAAAAGATTCATCTCACCAATTACGGTCAAACTGTGTAATTAGTTATTCTTTTTACTTATATTTAATGCTCCATACATGTGTCGCAAGATTTGATGTGACGATAAATCTTGAAAATTTTTAGATTTTAGGTAAGATCTAAACAGGGCCTTACTCGGGCCGCGGTAAAGACGATTGCCGCCACCGCCATGACTCGAGTAGGAGTAACAAACTGCAGTGGTGGCCTGTTGGGTTCGAAGGGGATGATGAGCATTAGAGCAATGTGCACCGCACGAGTAATGAGGTGTGGGTGTACGGAGTACTACTTGCGATGTACTCCGTACGTACCTGTCTGCACGTTAATTGACAGCAACGTGGACCATCAGTCGGCACTCGGTACCGTCTCTCGTGATGTCGCAGTGTCGCCGAACGTTAATGGTTGGTCTAAGCCTTCTTCAGTTGTGCTCTCGATGGCAAAGAAATCCAGCAGCAGTCCACGTTGTCATGTACCGCATGCAAGTGTACCGGTCCTTGGAAGGTCAAGCTATAGCTAGGAGCAAGGACGGACGTCGATGCACGATGGCGCCGGGTTACAAGCTGCGCCAATCCATGGTTCGGACTCTGGACCGGAGGAGCATATTTTCCAAGAGAAAGTGACCTCACAACATGCACGACGGTAAGGACGACTGCTGCGTTGGAGATTTCTGTCAAGTCATCACCAATGCATCGATCTATTGGTGTGATAGCTACATACAGTCATACTTGCTCGATCGGTACTCCGGTTTGCCAGAGTCCAAAACACATCCAAAGCTAAAGTTTTGCCTAATCATTCCCGTCGGTGCGAATTTCCCTATCCACCCACCTTTAGAATTCATCATATAGCCCGTTAATATTATACTTCCCCGAGTGATTAGTTTTGTTGTTATGTCATCTTGGCTTCAAAGTGGTCATATGAGTTGTCCCAGTGAGATTATAGTTGACAATGGGGCTTTGTCGGACTCTTCCGGTTAACGGTGAAGCAAGCCAGACGAGGTGAACTTGGACGTTCCCTCGTCACACGTCGCTCCATGATCGCGACGACCCAACTCACCCAAGCCTCGAAAATCATAGGGCAACATGCCCTAACACTACTATATGAATCTTAACCGTAGCGGGCAAAAAGGGTTAAACGAGGTTATTTTTGCAACCACCTCGAACGAAAGGTCACCGTTAATCGTGGCCTTAACCGAGGCGGTTGCAACAACCGTCTCGGTTAATCGATTATCGGAGGCGGTCACCTTAGAACGCCCGCCACGGTTAATCGATAAAAAAATAAATAAAAAAATCCTGAGCCCACCAGCAAGCCCGTTCCCGAGGCCACTAGCCAGATCTGGTCGGCGACGCAGTACGTCGCCGTCCTCCACTCCTCCACGCGGGATCCATCTCCTCCACGCAGTATGCCGCCATCCTCCTCTCCTCCACTCCTCCACGCGGGATCCATCTCCACCACGCCGGATCCGCCCATTGCTCGCCTCCACGCCGGCCTCCTCCTTGTCTTCACGCCGGATCCGCAGGTTGCTCGGCTCCACGTTGCTCTCCTCCTCGCTTCCATGCCAGATCCGGGCGCGGCCGGAGCAGGGGACCGCCCGCTCGCTAGATCCGGGCGTTGCTTGCCTATGGGGGAGAAGGAGATGAGAGGGAGGGGCACCGCTGCTCGCCTCCATCCGGATCCGCCCGCTGCTCGCTCCACACCGCTCTCCTCCTCGCCTCCACGCTGGATCCGGTCGTGGCTGGACAAGAGGGAGGGGCATCGCTGCATGTGGGGGAGAGAGGGACAGGGAGGAGCGCCGCCGCTTGTGGGGGAGAGGGAGCTAGACGGAGGCGCGCCGCCACCTGTGGGGGAGAGAGAGAGAGAGGAGAGGGAGAGGGAGCAGAGGGGCGCGCGGCCTGTCGGGGAGTCAGGAGGGGCGCGGTCTGTGGGGAAGGGCATCGCTGCCTGTGCGGGAGGAGTTTGTGGGGAGTAAGTGAGAAGATAACCCTAAGTCTATATTATATATGAGCCTAGTAGAAGATGGATATGGACCTTGACTTAGGCTGGGAGTTGAACCACTATTTTTGGAGGCGGGCCTTATAGCGTGGCCACCCTCAAAATATATTAACTGAGGCGGTTGTCTTAAAACAACTGCCTCGGTTAATACCGATTAACCGAGGCGGTTATTGTAAGGCAAACACCTCAGTTAATCGATTAACCAAGGCGGTTGCGTATTAATCGAGGCGGTTATATTACAGTGCCCATCTCGGTTAAGCATTAACCGAGGCGGTTGCTGGTCGGGCTGCCTTGCCTCGAATAACCAAGGTGTCGGGTATCGATATTAGGGATACCCAAAGCAAGGAAGTTAGCGTCCACACTGACTTCCCCGGATGGCTCGAGACATATTAAAAGGTCTCGCCCGACCTCGAGGCCACGGGCTCCGTCTCGCCCGACCCCTTGGGTGCGGCTTCCATCTCGCCCGACCCCTTGGGTGCAGGCTCCATCTCGCCCGACCTCAAGGATGCGGGTTCCGTCTCATCCGACGGGGACTCATACCGTCGCCAACCACTCTAGGTCCAAGCGTATGGGCCTGGGTCAAAACTCTGACGCCAGGGAAGAGGCTGGCACGCCTCGATGTAACCCGTAG